TCTACGGCCCGTTAGATAAGAAGCTTCAATGTATCTTTGATTCCGCAGTGTTTTTCATCAAGCTCCCCCCCTCACCACCCGGGAGCCGTGGCTCCTGGAAGGGGACCAATGAAAGCCATGAAGCGAAGAAAATGACCGTTCATTTTTAATTTTTTCATGTCGGTCCACCAGTGGTTAGGAGGTGTGGCTCACCAAATGTGGAGCAGTCGGGGGATCCCACTCACCCAGGGTGTGGCCGGGTGTGATGGGTCGCCCTCCAAAAAGGTAGGGAAACCTTTTGGTCTGACGGTTAGTCGACTATTGTGTTTGTTCCTTGGACGATTTAATGTTGACAATATCGCTGCGAAGTGGATCAAAAGTGAGTTGAATGCTTCTTTATATATATATATATGTATTGAAACTGCAAAATTCAACATGAAACGTAGTCGAATTGGGGCCACCTGCCACAACCGTTGAAAAGGTCCATCTTGGCTTTCCGCAGGATGGCTTTTCTATGTTTTGCTTGTTTTCAGTACAGGCTTTGAGCCGATGCGTGTTTCAGCATAGTCCTAAAAGGTCCCGCTTCAGCTGACAACTGATCCTCCACTTCATAGGCCGCATCTTGCTTCAGGACTCAACATGTTGGAAAGTGGCATTTTCCCCCCACCCAAGCAGCGGATGAACCAGCATGAACCTCTATAGTCCATCCTTTCAACAATTCCCTACGCCGGGTCACGGGTCAGTGGGTGCGGCGTGTGCGGCTTTTGCCCAGGTTTGGAGCTGTGCGATTTGCTTGGGCGGTGCCGAGGCGGGCGCCTCGGTGCGGCAGTTGCCGTGTGGGCATTGCTTCCATGGCGACTGCATCAAGGCCGGTCTGCCGGTCGGTCAGGGCGTCTGGGGGGCGTTTCGGGGTCGCAAGATGTCCAGGAAGACTAGATGCGAAGAGAGAGCCTACAGAGATCTACAGTGTGGCCGGGTGACTTTGACCAAGTGCAAGTCAATGGGCCAAAAAACCTTGAGAAGACCGTTTTTTTGCGCTGTGGGATTTGCTCTTGCAGTGAGGCTCGCGCTTCACCATGCCCATTTCTCTCTTTGGAAACTGCCTGCAGGCTTGGCTCCGGCGCGGGCGGCAGTGTCCGCTGGGCCGCTGTGGTGTGCCTCAGGACCGGTCGTGACAGCTGCGAGACTGGGAGGTTCAGTGCTCTAAATCCAGAATGCTCATGCTGATTCTTGGTCACTGCTGTAGATGCTGAGAACTGCTAGATCCGACCCCTTTTCCGTTGTGGGCCAGGGACTGCGGTCTATTTTTTCACGGAAGTAGTGATGTGCAATGTATTTATGCTGTATCACACAGACGCGACGACGGTTTTTCCCACCACGGTGCAGACGGCATGAAGGCGAACAACAGTATCTTGTTCTGAACTTATGATGGTGGTCGCAAATATGTAGACATATGTAGATCAAGGTGATGTTGAATGCGCGTCCTGACGTACAAATGCCCAGAAACCCAAAGAGCCTCATGCCGAAACACAGGAAGCCCGGGCAGCTGTGCGCAAGCTCATGGAGTTTCGCCTGGGCGGCCCAAGATTCGTGAAACCTCCTGGTCCTCGACCATCCCCCACCGTCCCACCCCTTGGTGGAGCTGGAGCCAGGGTCCAATCTCCGACGTTCGACTCACTTCATCGAAAAATAGTAGCTGAGTAGCTTGTGGTGGAAACCAACCAACAGCCACAAACAGGCTGGAAAGAACACCCAATAAACCCTGCTGAACGCCTAACGCCCTGACTAATTCAGCAGCCTGATCCGTGGATGTTTCTTCCTGCAGCGCAAAAAGTCCTAATAAGGTGCTCCTAAGGTGGCACAGTAACAGATAGAATAAAGCTGATAGAAGTTGAGACATGTTTTGGGATCACTCCATATAGTATTAGATGAGCTCCCTTTTGAATTTGCTGCTTGAGCCTGAGCTTCTGCAAGTGGAGCCGGGCATGTCGCAAGTACGGCAACTGTGTGTTGTGACCTTCCAAAGAGACAGGGCCTGAGCAGTCCTCCTTATCCCACTTGCATCCACTTGCTTTATATATATATATATCTATAAGATATATAAGACCTCCAAAGATCTCTGAAGCAAGAAACAGTATGCATCGGGTTCATCAAAACACACCTTGCCCATGGTGACAGGAGCTTCCGTTCATCTCGAGTATTAGAGTCCTTTTGTGCACAGCTTGTTCCGAGCACTCTCCCTTGTTGTGACGCTTGAGGCGTGCCTGAAGAAGGTGCGTGGCCGACGCTGCCGCCAGATGTGGTGAAACAGGAGTGGATGTTTTGAGGGCCCTTTTTAGATTGCAGCCTTTTCAAGGGTGAGTCGGTTGAGTGGCATGAACCTCAAGGTTCCAGAGACTTTTGGCCTTTTTCATGCTTGAAGCTTCGGATGGTATTGGCCACTTCGTGAATTAGGTTAAAGCAGCACCAAAAAGCTGTGCGGATTGCAGACGATAACTGAAGGAAGACATCGCCTGAAGGTTCACAAGGTTCTGAGACTGTTAGAGGTTCAGGGCCGGAGTAGGACATTGTAGAACCTTTTTTTCCTTTAGCTGCCGCCCTGCCAAAAACCACTCGACCATCCGCCGTGCTGGCCAGGACATCGGAGGCCCACAGCGTGTTGGGCCGCCGGGGCGCTTGCCACACCTGAGGTCCAACTCAGGCGGGGTTCGATTATGTTGGTCTGTTGATGGTTTTGGCCTTCCGGAGGGTTGCAGCAACCCAAACCGCCAGCACACCCCTTTGATGGCCCAGAGTGAGGCCCTATGGCACTGGCCAATTTCCGGCAGGGTGTGGTGAGCTGTGTTCAGTTCTGGCTGCTTCCGATGCCCAAGACCTGGCCAGGCTGGAAGCGGTTCCGTGCCAAAGATTTCAATGCTGGAATCCTGGTGAGTTCCTCAGACTCGTCGGTGAAGGCGGCATCCGTTCTCATGCGTTCCGCCGCGTTCTGCCAACCCGTTGGTGCCCAGGCACCTTGATAGTTTGCCTAGGTGATACCTGGGTCACTGAGCATGGCGGTCCTCCGAAACAGTAGTGATGTGATGCCTTTAATGTAGCAGCATAGCAACACCATCGGTGGATTTTCGACTGGAAGTCCACGTTGCCCACCAGAGAGGAAGTCTTCGGATATATCTCGAACAGACCACCCGACCCAGGTGCAGCGCCTTTGTTGAACGCCACAGGCGGGAGTTTGGGGTCCGGCCGGGTGGGTGTGTGGAGTTGGGGAGGTGGAGGCTGGCTTTGTTCCAAAGATGGTGCCACAGAATGCCATATATATATATATATTATATATATATATATATTTTTTAATTTATGTATATCTTTGGACTCCCCCTCCTGTTGGCCAAAGCCTTCCCCAAACATGCCGGCGAGTGTCTGCCAAAGCATTTGGACACCTGAGGGCAAGCAAGTACCAGGTGACGGATGAGGACCGGGTTTCTCCTCCGCTTTCGAGTCCTTGAGTCGAGTCCGACTCCCTGAGCCAGTGCGGCACCGGGCATCGGGCATCGGCATGGGGAGCTTGCTTCCCTTTTTCCGGTGACCTGACCATGTAAGGCAAGTGGGATGTGGTGTCCAATGCACATCCCATGGCATTGTATGAAGCGCGGGTTCGCACACGGTAGGGCCTTCTTCCATCGACCTGCCTCCTGGGTTGTGTAATCACAGCATGCCACGGAGGAAAGCACCTGAAGTGAGACCTTCACATTTTCCAGTTCACAGAGAAGCCCTCCCCCTTTTCGAGCCGCACGGGACATTCTACCCGTCGCAGGCGGGTTCTGAAGCACTGAAAGCGGGGGCTGTGAGCCCGTCATCGGTCTTTTTGTACAGTTACGGCTTGGCTTTTGCAGGACGCTTTCCACTAGGAAGGCGGTGGCATTCCAGAAGCATCCACCAAAGTCAAAATCCCAAAGTCAACAATTGCACAGTGCACAGTTGACTGTAACAGGATAACACCCCAAGAAGTTTGCGACTTGCGACCTTTTCGCCTTGATCACCTATTTTTGCTGGAGCCAGACCCTTCGAGCCTTCGAGCCGGACCCTACCCTTAGCTTCTGACAGGATGCCGTTGGCTTGACCCCTGCAGCCGTGCAGAGACCCCCCATGGCTGGCCACCAGGTCGGAGGTCAAAACGGAAGACTGTCGGGTGAAATGGGCGGACCTATTGGATCTGAAACCGGTCTCTCGTTTGGAATGGTTTCTTTGGTGGGGCGGCGTAGCCCATGAATTTTCCCGGGTTGGTCGGTGTAAAAAACCGGGACTGGAGTGGCCATCATTGAGGCCTTTCTTCTCCGATGTAAGACGTTCCAGCAAGGTGTCGAGGGTGTGACTATCACTGCGACAAGGCTCGCAAGACCCTTCATTCAAGAGGCCGTGACTCCAGAGTTTTGGGGAGGTTCTTGACCCATAGCCCAATGACTCATGACCTCACAGAAGGCACCAACACTGCTCGTGCCGATTCGGCCGATTCGGAAGACCTGCAACGCTCAGCGCAGGGGGCACGCCAAGCAGGACCTCTCTCTCTCTCTCTCGCACGCGCTAGTTCTAGAAGAAGCAGTTCGGAGATGCCGAAGTTGCGTGTTTCTGCCGAAAAGCCCAGAGAACCGATTTGCAAAGCGGTCTAGCGGTCTGCATTGCTTGTGCCAAGTAAGCATGGGCTGGCAGAGGGTTTGAGGATGTTTGAGATGAATGTCCTTTATTGTTTCAAGCATTTTGCATCCAGTATTGGGCGAGGACACTTTCTGCGCGCTATGCTTTGCTCGAAGTCTTTCAAGATTGTCCAAGCATGGTAGTACACACACACACACATATATATATATATATACATATATTTATAGCTTGCGTGGAGGGGTGATTTGAGCATGCAGATTTAGACCTATCTCTCATGTCGCAAGGTGGAGATTTACTGCCGCTACTGTAGTTTGTCATTATCTCAGCATGATCATGCATTTGCATTTGCATCAATCACGCACGGATGCACACGACGAGTTTCATCTATATAGATACCCAGATCCCAAGCACATGGCTGACAACCCAGCATGGCGTGAAGAAATCCGGTATTTTGAGAGATACTACCATCTCTTGGGAGAGGTGCAGTCTTTGGCCCAGGATGCGACCAACTGCAACAGTTTCCGGCAACAGCTTGACATTTCGGCAGCGATTCTGGAGGTTGTGATCGACCTCATAAATCTGCTGGAGGAGAACTTTCAAGAACCTGAGCTTGGAGACCCTGAGCCTGATGATGTGCCGGGTTTGTTTCAAGAGATCGCCGATGAGGCGGGCTCTGTCCATGCGGACCCGCAACAGATGCTGCAGCAGGCCTATGTCTTTTGGCGGGCCGCGAGGGAGGCGGAGGTGGCGTTGGTGGAGCTGGGTACCTGCACAGAGGTGACCAGAGGGTACCCTGAGATGACAAGCACGGGGCCCACTAGTGCCAACATGAAGCCCAGCTCGCCGCGGTGGTCTGGAGTTCAAGAGGTTGCAGAGACCAACTTGCCTCAAGGTGCAGCTGATAGGCTCCAGAGCTTCTTGGCGAGGGTGACACGGCTTATGGATGAGCATGGCGCTCTTTGGTTTGCTGGGGACAAAACGTGCCCTTGGATGCACGAGCTTGTTGAGCAGGAAGGCTTCGGCGATGGCTGGTCTTGTGATTCTTGCAGCCGGAGGTTTCCCAAAGCAGCGCGTCGGCTAGGGTGCAGAGAGTGCAACTGGGACTTTTGCATGCACTGCAGTGCACGGCACAAACAGAATGTGGACCGTATTCGTGCAAGGCTTGAACGTCTCAAAGCAGGAGTCACGCGTGCCCTCACTCACCTGACAACAAAAAATGGTGAACCACAAAAGGGCATTGTGGGCATTGTCGCTTCTTTGTTGCACCAACATCCTCAAGATGAGGAGCGCAAGAGTCTTGAGTCAATTATGTTAGTTCAAGCCATGGTTGACATCGAGCATCCCAGTTATGCCCTTGCACTGACTTTGCATGAGCTTGGCACTGTGAATGTGGAAAAGAATAAGTTGGAAGTTGCAGAGACTTTCTTCAAAGAGAGCCTAGCTATAATAAAACGTTCTTGTGCTGGCAGCGAGCTTAGCCGCAAAGTCGCGGTGATTTTGCATGAGCTTGGCGAAGTGGCTTCGAAACAGAATAAGTTGGAAGCTGCAGAGACTTTCTTCGAAGAGAGCCTAGCCATGGAGCGTTCTTGTGCTGGCAGCGAACCTAGCCTCTCAGTGGGGGTGACTTTGCATGAGCTTGGCGAAGTGAATTTGAAACAGAAAAAGTTGGAAGCTGCAGAGACTTTCTTCAAAGAGAGCCTAGCCATAAAGCTTTCTTGTGCCAGCAGCAAGCCTAGCCACTCAGTCGCGGTGACTTTGCATCGGCTTGGCAATGTGAATTTGGAAAAGAACAAGTTGAAAGCTGCAGAGACTTTCTTCACAGAGAGCCTAGCCATGGAGCGTTCTTTTGCTGGCAGCGAGGCTAGCCGCTTTGTGGCAGTGACTTTTCTGCAGATTTTCTTCAAAGAGAGCCTAGCCATGGCACGTTCTTTTGCTGGCAGCGAGCTTAGCCACTTAGTCCCAGTG